TCTGTCTTCTCTTGCCCCTTCTCCACCCTTTTTCCAGTGCTGCTGTTCCTCATATCTGAAAAAGCTTCTAGATTCCAGATGGCTTCTGAACTTGCAATCAAAAATTGTAAAGTGATGTTTATGCACAGCACTACGTAAATGCTGAGTAATAATATAGCTGCCAGTCAAGATGATTTAGCTCCATTCACAAGCTCAAACTCATTTAACAATGGCTTATTCTTCCTTTGACTGGCTGTAATCAACGGCCTGTGAGTACCACTGTCTACCATAAAATAAAAGGATGTCTGGTTTGAAACTCAGCAAGGTAGCATCCCTAACAGTTTTTGACTTTCATTTGTACTTTCAGAAATCTGCTTTTCTCTGTAAATTAACTTTTGAGTGCTGTGTCTATAATTGCCTTGTTCCATCAACAAGGAATCTTACATCATTTTGATGAGTGGCATCCTGAAAGGATGTAGCAGAGTCAGATTTTCTTGGGCTAAGCTAAAGGTGGGCTGTTCTGTGTAAGGAGGGCCACCGTTGTATGAAAAATAAATGAACTGTAAAGCAATGCTTAAAAACCAGATAATGATTGTCGTTTAAAATTCTCTAGCAGAAAACAGTTACTGTGAAAGCAGTTCATTTTTTCTGTGATACTGCCAAGCTCACCTAATTTGTCTTAGTTTCTCCACTTTATACTGAAATTACCTTATCTTTATAAAATGTAACCGGAGTGGATCTTTGTAAAATGAATCCATATAATTTACATCGTTAATTGACACACTTTCCCTAGTTTTCCTGATGCTGTTCTAAATGTATTCAACCCTGAAATGAGAAATGGTCCTGGATCTGTATTCCTGTAGTTCTGCAATTGTCACCTTAAAGTCACTGGAGTAAATGGAGTTTGTACTGCTGTTGCTGTACTGGTGAAAAATTGGCACGGGTGAGATCAAAATTCAGACCTATACATCTTTTTTTGAAGTTTGAAGTCCAAAATAAGCATTTCTCAAGTTCAGGTGCTTTGGTTCAGCTCAATGTAGGTTTTTGGCTTGAACCTTGACTCGGGTTTGACACCGTGCCTATTCTTTGCTAGTTAAATGGGATGAGTTGACTGTAGTTAGCCTGATCCAATACAGCTGGTAACACATTCATATTTTTGAAAAAGCTGTCACCTTGTCTTGAATTTGTATTTGTTGAAGCTCATGACTGTCCTCTCCAGAAGGGAGAAGCAATGACAAAACAGAAGACGCTGCCAGAGTTATGACCATATGAAAAATCCAAGCAAGAATACTGTAAGGGAGGGCTTATCTTTAAACTGATAGCAAATGCAAAGGCTAAACATGGGCTGCCTTGTGGCTTGGTATGCAGGATGAGAGAAAGGGAAGTTAACAGATAGCTGGAGAAATACAGTAAATACCTCCAAAAGGGAAATAAAGCAAAACAACTTCTTTGCCTATTGTGGAAATGATAATGAAGGAACCTACCTCCTGTCTTTGTCTTCTGTGCTCCTGTCACTTGTGAAAGGAAGCATCATGTCTGGGGCAATCATGCTTACTTACGCAAAGCTGCCATTCTTTGGTCAATATATCCTCTTAATAAAAATAACCCCAAAAGGTCTTGAGTATCAGCTCAATGTTTGGACACAGAGGCAACATTTTTTTAAATTTAGAACTTTTGTAGGTGTGTGGTATGTTTCCTAGAGAGAACAGACCCAAACCCAACATCTGAAGATGTTCCTTTTTTATGGAGGGGTTGAGGAAAGGAAGAGATGTTGGCTTTCAGGTTGCTGTTTCTATTGGGTCAGGCTGAGATGGAGTTAATTTTCCTCATAGCAGCCCCCACAGAGCTGTGCTTTCTATTGAAATTTAGAAAGGTGTTGATAACACACGAGTGTTTTGGCTACTGCTGAGCAGAGCTCACACAGCATCAAGGCTGTGTCTCCAACATTCCTGCACCACCACCAGTGGACTGGGAGGGGGCAAGATCTTGGGAAGGGACATAGCCAGGACACCTGACCCAAACTGACCAAAGAGATATTCCATACCATATGACATCGGCTCAGAGATAAAAGCTAGGGGGAGGAAGGGGAGGGAGGCATTTGTTTTTTACAGCATTTTGTCTTCTGGAGCAACCACTATGCGTACTGAAGCCCTGCTTCCCAGAAAGTGGCTGGACATTGCCTGCTAATGGGAAGTAGAGAATAAAATCTTGTTTTCTTTTTGCTACTGTGCGCAGCCTTTGCTTTTGCTTTTTTCTTTATTAAACTGCCTTTATCTTGACCCACGAGCCCTTTGATTTACTTTTCTCTCCTCTATCCGGTTAAAGAGGGGATAAAGTGGCTTGGTGGCCCCTGGCATCCAGCCAAGGTCAACCCATCACACTGTTATTTTCTATCTGATTTTCTGTCTTCTGGTTCCTTTCACATAATTATGATCCAGTTCTGCTCCCTTTTGGATTTATGGCAGAATTCCCACTGACAGCAGTAGGATGAAGTTATTTCTGGCTCTGGGCATTTTAATCCTGATGTCCTGGCAAAATTCCAATAAATATAATTATGTTCTGTCAAGCTGAATTCTACCTTTATGAATGTTATAAAGTATTTGTGTTTGCACAACACCTAGAAATTCTAGTCAATCATGATGCTAAGAACTTTACTATCACGGAAGAATTATATGTGCCAATTGCTCTGGAATTATTTTGCCTGAAAGATAGACATGTGGAAGACAGCATTCACTTTTTGCTTAGTAGATGGAATGGAGTCCTAATTGCGAGTAATCTTTTACAGAAAGCCATGGAGGCATATTTTCATATAGTGCCTGTAATGTGCTGTGATTTGCGCTACAGAGGTACCTGTGGTAGTCAGTAGTTTAGCAGCGTGGTTTCTATAGACTCATGAAATATGCACTGTGGCTGTGCTTATCATTGCAATTTGCTTTAAAAAAAAAAACAAAAAAAAACCAAACAAAAACCCAGCCACAAGAAGAACAAAGAAACAAAGAAAAAGCCCCCAAAATGGTGGGAGCAGGGATTATATTTTTGGTGATGTGTTGCATACTTCTATGTTTAGATTTCTAAACAATTACAGTTACAGAAAGGAAAATGTTTTTCTGATTCCAGCAATAAAATCGGTGCTTTTTTTTAATGACTAACTGCAAAGTACTGAATAGAGCTGTGGAGAAATTATTAAGGACTTTGTCAATATGAAGTTTCCTTGTGTCTCCCATCACAAGGATGTTTCAGACTGTTAAATAATTTTAAGGTGCAAAATTTGCAATGGCTGAGGCTGTTATGAATTGCTATGCTATTAGCAACTAGGCAACAACCATAGTAACTACCATTCTCTAGTGTTTTTTCTTGAATCTAACCAAGAGATTTTTCTTTTGAACTCATATATACATACACACGCACAGGGATCAATATATTGTTTTCTAATTCATGTTTTTCAAGGTAAATACTCTATAGGTCATGATACTAAGCTTGCAAGGCTTGAAATAGTCCAGCGAATTCCCTACAGATGGGCAGGAGCCAGTCTGCCCCCCTGGGTGAGACTGAAGTCTGGGTGACTGCCTGCGAACTGTCTTGGCATTTCTGGCCTTACCTTAACTGTACTTTCAGGGAATGTGATTTATAGGATGTGTTGAGCCAGAACACTCAGAGAAAGTAATATAATAATTATAGTAGCATATTCTATTATGCTTATCCAGCTGAATTAAGCTGAAAAAAAAATGGATTGTAACAAAATCATGGATTTGAATCATTACTAGATGATACAGCCTTTTCAATGTAGCTTGTACTATTTATACTATATTTAGGTAAATATATATATATATAATTATTCTTTTTGTAAATGTAATGTTAGAGATGTACATGTCACTGAGCTGGTAGCACCTGTTCTTGTAATGGTATTGGTGTTGCTACGTTACAGAGGGGTGTTTCACTGCTAGAGACGTTGCCTTTTAGTTTCACAGGGGCACTATCAGAGCAGACAACAAAATACCCCTGGCTAAAAATTTGCTGGTTAGGAATGCAGGCATATGCTAGTAAAATCTGTGAGGCATGTATGATTTTATCTGTATAAATATGCTAGCTTGCATGTTCTCCCTCTGCTACTAGGGTCAAACTTCATAGAACTAGTGTTGATATGTCTGAATATGTATCTCTTAGGCAATTCAAGTGAGCTGTGTTTAACCCTATCAGAGCTTTGAAGGAAAAAACAACCGCTTCGTCCTTAGCTGAGGCTCCTGCAGTTTCTCTTCCTCTGGCAGATATGTATGTGAAATATCCCACGTTTTGTAATGCCCATATCCTTGGCTGAAGAATGGGTGTATAGTATGCATTGAAATCTCAACTAATGAACCAATCCAAAATTTTACAGCTTCACTTCTTAAAAAATTAAAATAAGTCCAGTTACAGTAGAAAGTTCTAAAAGTGACTTTTATCAATATACTTCTAAAGAACTCCTCCAATAATACTGTGCATGGTTTAAATAAAAAAGAAAAGCATTTTTTGTTCAGATTCTCATGACTGAAATAATGTGAGTTCTATCTTTTTACAGAAACTGAAGATCTGTGCATCTGGTAATTCAGTTCATATGTCTATACATGTGTGAGTGTGTATGTGTGCTAGAGAAAGAGATACCTATATTCATGAAGTTGTCTGTATCATAGCATATATGCACACATTTCTGACGGATACTTCATCCTTGGAAATGTTTCAAAGCTGTATGTGATAATGTAGCACAGTATATAGTGTTTACTAGACCAGATGTTATTTTACTGAATGCCAGAGATGCCTATGTTACATAAAAGGTATGGTCTGGATACAGTTCAGAGCTGTATGCCTGTGATCACTGTAAATGTATGGTCTTTTTCACCTATTACCAGCATATTAATAAACAAAACTGGTTTCTGATTGTATATCCAATGACTATTTATCTGAATATAAAGTATGAATGGAAAGCATGAGTTGTACTCATTACATCTGTGTTTCTAACTATTTCACTCTGCTCTTTTTAATTTAAGGTTGCCTTTGCCTCCTGGAGCATTCTCAGGTCTTTGGGAAAATGAGAAAACATTCCAGAAGTTGTATTTCCAAAAATTCCCAGTAAGAAATACAAAATGAAATATATAAACTTTTGGTAATCCTGCAGAACTTATGGTAGTAGATTTAAACTGGATAACATAAAAAATTATCACATCTTATTTTAATGGGAGATCTTTGATATATGTATTACAGAATTAAAAATGTTTTGAGGTAGAACTTTCTCCATACATACTTTAAACTTTTGGGCACATTGTTTTTTTTTTTTTAAGATCTGAAACAGAAGAAGTAAACCTCAAGCTTCTGAACATAAAAGTTGGTTTCTGTCATTTGAGCTAATAAAAGATAGAAGCCTCACAGCCTTAAACTAGCATAGCTTCAAATGTACTACGGCTGTTGACATGCAGTCATTCTAACTTGGTATCAGTCCAAAATATATACTTGCCCACTGTGCATGTAAAGACATTGGAGGCTCCTTACTGAAATAGTTGTTTCCTTGTCAGATGAACTATCCAAGGACTGGCTTCCTCCTTTCCTTATAGAAACAGATAGATTGGTCCTATGTGAATGTCCAAAATGGAAGGTTTGGTTCAATAAAAGGAAATTAGTGATCAGGCAAATTATTTTTTGTGAGTACTTGCATCACGATGATGGTAACATATGTTTGGATCCAGCAAACAGGATTATCTTTAGGGGCAATTTGACAACTGTTATTGTACTGTAACAATTCCATTCTCCTTGTGTAGATTCAGGCAACATCCTTCTTCAAGCTGTCAGGGGTCAAAGAAAGCAGAGTGGGAAAAAAAAATCCAGTTTTGTATGTTGTCTTCTGTTCTGTCCTAACAAAGACCACGAAACCTGTTCTGGAAAGGGAGCTGCATGGTGTATTATGACATAAGAATGTTGGAAAATATTAGAGAACTAAATCTTTTAGACTCCAAAAGTGTATTTCATTTGAAACAATCAGTTTTGTTTGTTGGTTTCATGGGAAATGGATGGATGTTCCTGGTACTATTTCTGAGTTTATTTTTGCTCATGTTGCATCTAGGGATATTATGATACTATGGATGCAGGTTATATGGATGAAGATGGTTATTTGTATGTCCTGTCTCGAGCTGATGATGTGATCAATGTTGCTGGACACAGAATTTCAGCAGGTGCAATTGAAGAGGTGAGCATTGCCTGACAGTAAAATAGAAGAGTGAAAGATGAATAAAGAAAGCAGAGACTGAAAATCTCACAAAATCTCTCATTTTCTTTCTGCTCTATTTGATTGCATTTGCATTGGTACTTTTGACGAAAGCGTTCATTGTTTCAGGTCCTTCTTATTCAGGTGCTTTCCAGGACCATAATAAACTTAGTCAACAATAACCACTTTGTACCATGGGATTGATAAAACTGGCATGATTTGACATCTGGTGGTGGAGTTAAGGGGCACTATGATAGCATGGGAAGCATCCCTGTAAGCTCTGATAACATATTTGGGAATACATTAAGATAATGTAGGGTCAGTGTGCCAAGTAGTTTCACCAGCTACTGTAGTTTCTTAGGAGTAGAAACTTTTATTCCTAAAAGACAGTTTTTAGTTCACATAGACTCGCATTCAGTGCTTTTTCTTGATTTGAAAAGTTTCCTTCACAGTTTCTTTAGAGCTGTTTTGTCTCTTATTGTATGAGCAGTGTAAATGAACAATGAAAATGTCTGTTAAAAACCCCTGCTGTTAAATTGAAAGTCATTACCGTAATACCCATGCAACTCAAAAAGTTGAAAATAGTGCAGTTCATAATAGTATCTGAATTTCATATCATTGTTCACTCACCTCTCTGGAACCGCTGTGATTGATTGCTAGTTACAAATTTCCCTGATGACATATCAATTGCTTATTCAGGGAGTACAGGAAAAGGTGTGCTGGGCATGTACAAGGGAATAATACACTTTTAAGGACTCTGAATTTAACTGTTCACTGAATCACAAGCTAATCTGTTAGTCATTTTTTGATTTACAAAGTCTGTTAGTCTATTGACTTTTTTTTTTTTTTTAAATGGTAGAAAACTTGAAAGAGAATAGAAGAAATTCTGGTTACGCAGAAGTGAACAAATTCAGGTACACGTAGGCAATCCTTCAAGGATCGGTCAGCCAGGGAGCTGAGCCAGTCGCTGCCCTGACTTGGGGCTATGAAGCCATAAAGGTGGCTTTCAGTTTGCTTAAACCTCTTTCCCTTTGAAGTCAATTTTTTTTTGTGTTGCTCTACTAAAGCACAACAGGGAATCTCATCCCCACCCCTTACTGCTTTACTGCTCAAGGGCTGAGCCGGGCATTGTTTCTTTGCTTCAGGCTGAATCTGAACCTCCTGTAACAAATGATGAGTTGAATCACCTCCTCAGCTGTATTATCTTTGTATCCATCGTCCCTAGCTCAGTGTCTCTGGTTTTTTCCCTGCTAGTTAGATCTTCCCCCTAGAAACAAAAAATGTTTCTTCACTATGAAATTCTAGCAGCTTTTCTATTCACCTTTTGAACAAAGCTAAACCCCAAGGATGTTGTTAATGCATGCACAGCAAATTGCTAGTTAAATGGGAAAGCATTAACAAGACCACAATTAGCTCTTCAGTAAGATCAGTAAATACAGGATTAGAGGTTCATTGAATCGCCATCTAATTAAGTGACAGTCACCTTGTTGAGCAAGTATATTATCTCCATTCACATTGTAGCTGCATTACAAGCTTAACAAGTTTTTCCTTAGTGCTTTGACTAAGATTTTCAGCTTCATTATGTTCCAAACAATTAGTTTCTTTGTCTAAGGTATCTATTAGTATCATTGGGGCTCCATCTTCACTGCAGTGCAGTAGGCGTTACTGTTTACCTTGCCGGTCAGCGAATGTTAGCCATTATGGTAACCTCAGCTTGTGTTGGTCCATCCATCTCTTCCATCTGTACATCTATGGTGTCCCTGCTTGCTTTGACTCTTTCTGAAACAGCCCGAATCAAATCTTGCCTATCTGACAATGGACTTGAAATTGAGGAGTTTAGCATGAGATGGTGGGGCTTCTGTCTGTTGACACATT